TCCTATTCATTGTCTCAGGGCCTCTCCATTTGCAGCCTAAATTCTATTTGGCACCTAATTTTGGGTCTTAGCCATTATCATCAGATCATAATAGACACATCTTACTGTCAGTAGGTGTTATCTACTAAAGAGAGATAACCTATATTTTTTATAGGTTCAGTTCAAAATTCCCTGCAGGTTACCCAGATTGACATATACTTGATGAAGGCTGGTTTTGGCACAGCAGATGAAACGTGTGATAATAGCAACAATAGTGAGGATTCAAGTAACTTATCTGAAAGACTGATTTGAGAGTTTTAAGTTGAAAACTAATCAGGGTGAATTCCCTTGTGTATATGTGTTCTATTTCATCACTTGAAAATCCCAGGATTGTTAAAATATATATTGGTAGCACAATGAATACTTTTAAAATATGTTAGTATAATCATCTTTCATCCTTTACTAATGCTGACAAATGAAATATGACTTTACTTTCTAAATATTTTTGGAAATTGAAAGAGGAAAACAAAACACCTAAAGTTAAATGGAAAATTCTCAAACAAGCCAGAACCTTTAGATCTGTGATGGCACCACATTATCTTTGTCTACAGGAGAAAATGCAGATAATTAAACTCTTGAATAATGATCAATTATTAAATCAAAGATATGAAACTATGATAAATTGTAGGCATTTTAAAGAATTAACCTTACAATTTTGCTAAACTTTATAACTCAATAATCACCCCTCTTATGTTATATTACCTTTATATAAACCTTTTAATGTTATTCTGAGTGGTTTATTATAGATTAAGGTATTAAATTGATTAATATTCATAAATTACTGTTAGTAAGGTTAGCCATGAATTGGCTTATAATTATTTTACTGGTGGTGTTTTTTGATAATAGTTTTTAATTTAAAGTAAATATATAAAAGTCATATAAATATTTAAAATTTGTTTTGTATTCTTATTTATAATGTAAGGTTTTATAGTTAAGTAGTTGTTTTGTTTGTATATAGATTTTCTTTTTAAAGTGTCTTTTATTTACGTACTTAAAGTGTCTTTTATTTACGTAATTTTGTTTAAATATGTGATTTCATTCAAAATGTCATAAAGTTTGAAATGCTAAAATGTATCTGAAATATGTTTCTATCTTATTGCATTATATTTCCATTCAATTTTGAATTCTCTATCATAATGTGTCTTCATTGGCTTAAACTGGTATCAACAATGTCTTGTACCTTATTTTCTTCTCTTTCCTTTTCCCTTGTATCTGTAAAATTTGGATATACTCCTCTCCTTTTTTTCCTTTCTCTTTTTTCCCTTCTCTTGGTAGTAGGGTTGATTTCTTATGCTTTCTTTTCTTTCTTCTTCCTTTTCTTTTTATTGATTTCTTATTTTCTTTCCTTTTTTTTTTACTTTAATTTGCTTTTTTCTTTCTTTTCCTTTTATGGAAAGAACGATTTTTTTTTTATATATTTGTCTGTTTGCCTTCTATGGAAAATTTTGAAATATGTAAAAGGAAGTGATATTTCATAAATTGTATCTTTAAATAAAATGGTTTATTACTACCATCGTTAACCATCTGATGAGATGTCTTTAGACATCAAAACAAATATGCATTCTTGTTGTGGTAACTTGCATGTTCTAATATAAGAGTTTATAATAAATATTTATTGCTCTACTCTTGTATTGAGCCTTTTTTTAAATTAATGTCATGAACGTTTGAATTTATATTCTTTTCATTCTTTTACATTTGGATTATATCTATATATGTATTACATAAAAGAGAAATCAAAAATTTCCTCATGAGTATAGACTATTTCAACTAATGTCAATGCATCAGCTTTATTCAACTCAAATGGTGGACTGTATTCAGTTGGAACTAGAAATTTAAAATTAAATATTTAAAAAAGAGACAGCAATTGATAAATTGATACAGAGCTAACCAAACAGACAACACAAACAGCCTGAGTGGTGGTAAAGTGAAAATGGATGTTGCCTGGCTTAAATGAAAAAAAAGTTACACAAATTCGACCCAGATCAAAACCTAACACCCCAAGTTGGGGCTATAAGAAAAATGTAGTGAAATTCAAGGAAGGTTGACAAAAAGAAGTTTTAAAACGAAAGTATTATATAGCAAAAAAAAAAATGTTACCACTTAAAATTACCAAAATATGCTTACAAATCAATTATAACAAGATTAACAATAAATCATTATTAAATAGTTTATATTAAGTAAAAAATATTTAAGAAGATATTTAAAAGTATAGTAATATATATATATATATATATATATATATTGATTGTAGTATAAAAAGTACAATACAGGAATATAAAAACAGTTAAGTAAAAAGAAAGCAAAATTATAATCTTTCCTGTTTGGAAATGTGGGTGTGCCTTAAAATCTTGTAGGTAGCTGCCTAGGAAGAAGGTTCATGTTGACACTGCTAGAAAAGAGAGAAAGAGTAAGATAGGGATTTATTGTTCAGTCCTTTTATAGTCCGAGGTAGCGCAAACCT